AAAGTATAATTTGAAAGCTTCTATCAATCACTCAAATGAACATATTCTGTGTGAATGAGATCTAACAATGTACTGTTAATGCCAAACGCGACTATTTGATCCCACTCGAGTGTGTTTGTGGAAAGCCCACTCTCAAGGTATTAGGAAAATCACAGAGAGGCACTAATGAAATTCTTTCTAGATTGTAACATCTCTTGCCATCATCAGGCCGCCTTTGAAGGTTTTAAGGAGTCAACAGTCTTCTTAAATGTCAAAGCCTTTGTAGAGCTTAGAGAAGGACGCAGTAGCCTCAGGGTGGGATTGCGTTATGTGGGGCTGGGTGGTGTGGAAGTGTAATCATCATCCCTGGGTGGCAGTGAATACGAAATGATGCATTCCTCATAAGCCAGGACAGCATTTTGCGGATAAGAGGTGATGAGGCATGAATGCAGATTAGCACTGGAAGACATAGAAAATGATAAATGCTTCTACAGAACACCATTTGGCATCTTACCGTTGGAAGAGACTCTACAAAATGGCTCGGCCCGGTGGAAATAAAGTTTCAGAGCATAACCAACGTCTAACTAAAACAGTGTTTATCTGACAGCCTGGTGGCGTGGTAACACACTATGTGATTGCATCTTTATGCATCAGGATTATGTTAATCACTTTGGCTATATTATTACACCTCTGTTGTTAAAAAAACAAATGAAATAAAAGTTGCAAATTAATCTTTTTTTATTCAAAATAAAGAAAGAATAATTTGAAAGAAAAATCTCAGATTGAGCTTTTCTTTATATCACCAACTCTGACACAAGTGTTAAAGTGAAAGTCAATGATCAAGATTCAGAGGTATTGATATTCAATCACTGAATCAATCTTGAAACTATTAAGCTATTGATAGAGAGAGAAAAAACATTGTAAAAGTATCGTTGAAGCTGTTGAGGTGCCTTTGGTGTGGATCCAGTGGAATACATAGTAACACTAACACGGTGTTATTGGTATAGAAAAGTATATCTGAGTCCAATGCTCTTTGATAAAGATTATTAACATATAAGTTGAATAATAGACGCCCCAGGACTATTTCTATGGGAATAATTTTGGGAACATTAATGAAGCAAGAGGCAATGCCTTCAATTTTCACAGAACAACTGCTGTTGAAAAAATTATTTTTTAACAACCCCAACAGCCGTTCTGTCAGAAAAACTTTTTGCTTTAATTGTGAAGGATTTGAAAACGGGCATATTTACTATCTAAAGCCTTGGTAAAATGTTTATTAACTGTAAGACTGCTATAGTAGTGCTGTGTCCATTTCTACACCCTGTGCTGCCATGCAAAAAAATAAAAGCAGCCCTAAAGTCAAACATCCCAAATCTCATGAATATAACATTGGAGTCAAAGAATGTTTTTCATTACAATAGTGGAGTGGCTTGAGCACAACATAACAAAAATGATCAATCTATATGACATTGCTTATTCGAAGGAGGTATTAATTTAAAAATCTAAAAGTGCGGCCTCCATGTGCCTGTAGGACCTCCTTATAACGTCTGAGATGCTCCTAATGAGGAGGCAGATGATCTGCTGTGGTAACCCCTCCTAGATCTGGATCAAAGCATTAGTCATTCTAGGACAGACTGTGGTGCAACGTGGTTTTGGTCGGTGGGACGAGACATGATATCCAAGATGTGTTCAATTGGATTCAGAACATATATTGATGCCTTTATCATGCAGGAACTGCTAACACACTTCAGCCACATGGAGCTTGTCCTCCGATAAGAAACCAAGGGTCCACTGCACCAGCATATGGTTTCAAAATAGGTCTGAGGTTCTCATTCCTAGCGCATGAAGCCTGCCAAATAAAATCCCTTCAGCATTATTGACCTGCTGCTAAACCAGGCATACTGAAGGATACTGAAGGCAGCTTTTATTCTCCAAAGTGTCTCTAGACTCTGCCATGTTCTTCATGTTTGCTTAGTGTGAATCTGCTCTTCAAATCACCCTGCACAGTGTGGGGTCCCCATTCGAGGATGTTGGGCCCTCATACGACCCCCATGTAGTCTTTTCCAGACAGTTATATCAGTAAGATGCCCATTAGTGGCCTGCTGGAGTTTACTTCGGAAGTCTCTGGCAGTTCCTCCTTGCACAAAGGAGGAGGTAATCGTTCTGTTGCTGAGTTGCTGTCATCCTACTGCCCTCTCCATGTCCGTGTACTTCTTCACTGTATACTGTATAAGGACTAATTAGATACTCCCTCAGTCTCTCATAAGATATTAACAGGAAGAGGCAATTGTGAAACGAGCAAAAGACTGATGAGGTCTGTTGGACAGCTGCGTTTAGGCAAAAGGAAAAACAGAAAGCATTTCAGCCTCGTCATAAAATGCCTTACCTTTAACTAAGTATATGGACAGCATTTCGTACCGATCTGGTGGCAAAAAGTTAAGCAGTTATTTATGCTTTTTAAGTTTCTGAAATAAATGATGCCGACTTTACAATTCTCATTGCCGCAGTAAATGTATTGTGTCGTTCCCTATGTTGTTTTTATCTAAGCTACAATCTGTTTGTCTGACCTGACAACACTGCTTATAAGCTCATCAGTCAAAAAGATGCAGATCACGAGCAAAAAGAAGTACAGGAAAAGCTTTTTTCTATGTATGACAGTAGCAAACCAAAGGAAGCACTGATGTCATTAGTAACTATGGGAACAGATGGATATTTATGCAGGTAGTTCATCAGAATAAGAAAAGTCAGTTTAACAAAGCCCTTCAGATTTAGCGCTGTGGAACAGTCAACAAACTAAAAAGGTCAAATGTGGTCTTGATAATGGGATAATCGCTGGAAACATATACCTCCAATTGTTATCTTTTATTTAGGGTTCAGTTTTGTTCAAAGCTGCATTAATGAGGGTAAAACCT